CGGTTCGCCGGGCGAATATCAATACTCGTAAATAATTTCGTCGCTGTATGCCGGCGCAATGTTGCACAGGGAAGAGAGGGGAAATCGCCTCGGATTTCAATCGAACGATAAATAATTGACGGAGGAAGGAAATTCGATGATTTGGCCCAATTACGTGGCAGTATGAATTTTCCAAGTGCTGAACATATCTGCGGGAAACCGAGCTGGCCTGCCGCAACGAGGAAATATGCGATACGTCCGACTCCCGATATTATTTCCCTGGACCACATTGCTCGTAGCTCGTGGAAACCGTTCCTGTACATACTTATACCGTATATGTATACGGAAGAGAACTTTTTTCGGGAACAGTTTAGGGAATATTTATACCACGGTTACAAAAACGAGTAGACACCACTCGAGCACAGTGGTATACAAGACCTACCACTCGAATTATCTAGGCCACAGGCTTGTAGAGCAACTGGCAGCAACGTCGAGCCTCTTACTTCGCTGACAGCGCTGAAGCTCATCCCCGTGTGTATATGTATAAAGGCTAGGCTATAACCATTTACAAGCGTCAGCCGAAAAATAAAAGCCACCCACCCACACAGACGTATTTGGCCGTTGCGCGACCATCTCGAGCCCACGAGTCTTCCTCTTCGTCGGCCTTTCTTCTCCAAGATGAATCCTTTCTCTCACACCGAATCTATTTTAACATCGTTACATACGTGTCGCGTGATTTACAGGACCGTTTCTCTTCTACAGGAAGAAATCAAACACTTCTTTCTATCGTGCTAATTAGGAGAAGTGAAGTTCAAATTACTCTCTCCCATCTTGTCGGGGATTTTCGTCGATTGAACAACCTCGTCCCCCGTCGCTCGCGTCCACTTATCCGTTCTCAATTTAATTTCGCCGCGTGTCAAGAGGTTGTTACGAACTGTTGCGACAACTCGAGGCGAGCTAACGAGTGAGAAGCGCTGGGAAACTTGTACCTGCATGCAGCACGGAAACACCGTTTGATATCGTGTCGATAGCTGAACGGATTAACCGCGATTATGCACTTGGTCGCGCATTAGAACCGCTCCGCCAGATACTTAATACTTTCTCGTATTTTCCGTGTAACGATATTTCTGCTAGAATATTACGCTCCTATCGCTCTACCTGTGTGTATAGGCTTGATTGAATCGAATAAAAAGAAGCGAGCCAAAGTTAGTCGGTTAATTCCCGCGTAATTGCCGTTTGTAATCTGATCACGATCTCGCCGCCCGTTCTTGCCGCGGGACCTGTCCAAATTTGCTCTCGTCAAACTTGCAAATCGATTACCATCGAAAGGTCGTGGTTACGTCGAGCGTTGCTAATGGTCGCGATGACGTTAGAACCATTGTTTTCTACCGCGGCTCGATGTACATATGTACATATAGCGCGTCGGTGAAATTGTGGCGAGCTACATCCGGAAGGCCCGTGTAACTACACACGATCGTGTGTGCCTGCTGAAAACCTACAAAAACACACATCCCCGTTGTACGGATTCATCGGGATGGCCTACTGGTACGCTTTTCTGATCCCTTTAACATTGAGCGTTGACCCACTATTTCAGAAGGACGTTCATGTCCGCTGGCCTCGGGGTTCCTTCGCCATTCTCGTTATTTTTTAATACCTGCATGTTGCTCCGAGATGCACCGCGGTCGCGCTGCATTCTCTCCCTCTCTGTCCGATATTAAACGTGGTCGAAAATCAAAGGAAACGTCCGAAGGATCGTTCTTTCTTTTCCGCTGACACTTGAGAAAGATTCGGAATTGCGAGGAAAAGGTGTATAGATGGAACAGGATGAACTGGTGAATAGGAGAGATATGCGGGGCAATATTTCTGGCGCTACTTTAATAAATGGAAATTGCCGCGTGTACGAGCCATCCGGTGGCTCGTGAGAAAAGATTGCGCGTCTAGTAGCCTTCGTTTTCTCAGGGCTGCCCCTTTTGCAAGGACGTACATGACCAACCAGACAAGAATAATAATGCTGATGTGGTAATCTCGTTTCTACCACCATGACAATTTCCCCGGGCGTAAAGACAGTGCGATATTGAAAGTGCCGGTATTGTCGTGAGATAATAAGGACCACCGTGATAATGTCCCTCACGAACGGTTGTTACGTCTCGTACAATGGGAACCGAGCGAAATTACCCCTTTAACTTGGCCAAATTAGCACGTGTTAACGTTTCGTTTGTTGGCCGTAGAACGGAGTTGGAACGATAGCCAGATTAGATATCTCTACTCGAAACGTAATATTATAATTAAAGGTTAAACTCTCCGCATGCACGATTATTGATCGCGACTGGTTTTACAGCTGTGAAAAATAAGGAATTCGTTTTGTCACGCTCGAGTGACCGTACTGGATGTTCGAGTGTCTCTTTTCTACCTCGTTCCCTCGACACGACGAATGCATTTGGATTGTCGTTCAGTTAGCAGGCCAATTAATAAAGACTCCCGGCGGGTGGTGTATTGGTTCTCGTTCGATCGGTGGAATTTTCTCGCGGCGGAGCGAGGATGCAAAGTTGAAGCGACAAATTAGAAAAATGGAAAAAATTCAAAGGTCGACTGGAGAACGATTTCAGATCGTGTTAGACCCGGAGAATTGAAAAGCAGAACCGGGGGGAAAAGTTTTATAGTCGGTCGTCTCCGCCCCCCGCGTTCGTCGCGCTGTCGTCATTATTCTCGTCGTTCTCGTTCTTCTTTGACGAGGATTTTTAATCAAGAGATAAAGGGGAAAGAGATTAAAGGCGGCTTAAAGTTCAGGTGGAACGGTATCCTTAGAATTTCATTGTTTCGTCGATATTTCATCGCCGTTCGACCGTCGATTATTTTTGCAATTATTGCAACGACGTCTAATTGCTCTCTCTGTCTTTTACGAGAATCGTTCCTTCAGTTTTCGTATAACGAGTCTAATTAAAGAGGCCTTCCTGGCGCGCGCTCTCCGCAGCAGTTCGTTTAATTAAAAAAAAAGAAATTGAATAGACCGTTGCTAGTTTAAAGCCCCTCCGTGTAAACTTGACCTTTTCTTTCCTCGACTCGACAAGCTTCCCCCCGTCCACTTGTTTTAAATAAACCGGTAGAAACGTGAAAGAGACACCACTTACGTCATAATGGGATTATAGAGAAAAAGTACTTTGGACGAAAGGAAACGCGAACCGATGCTCGACTTTATTCCGCTGTTACACCTATTTCGTGTTACTGTCGCAATAAAGTCGCACAAATCCTTGTTGCCAAGTTCCCGCGAACTGCTCCAACGATACTTGTTCCTCGAATCGTTATTCCATAGCGGAATATCGTCCGGAGATAAAGTTTACCCATAAAACACGAGCGTAAGAGAGAAGGTTCGGGGAATCTCAATTAAAAATTCGAATTCGTCAGACTTGGATCGTTGCAGTCTGGAAGGCATAACCACCTTAAACGAGTATACGTCGAATCCGGAGATTCTGCGTGTCCCTACGTAAAGGGAACGAAAATTCTCTGGCTAGACGCCAGCAGACCTCCTGCCACCGGCATGCACAGTTCGCCAGTTTAACAAACCACCCTCCCTGCGGATCCATAGTTGCGAAACATTCTTCCAGACATGTTAGAAGAAAGTTGTCTCCGGGAAGAAATCGCGTAAACCCCGTATAAACGAGTCCAACTTCCCGGCTTCGAACGAACCACCTTTCATTCTTTCCGCGAGTAACACACGATCGTTACGTGGAGCATTCTAGAAAACTGAGGGGAAGATCGTTTAGTACGAGAATTTGATCCACTGGCAGATTAGCTCGATGACCTTAAGCGCGTTTAAATTGCAAGATTAACCGGCAGTAGCGATTAGCGGTAAAGATTTAACCTTGCTCCATTCCTGAAGGCACATTAATTCCACCGAGTTCGTTCCAGTACACAGAGTGTTCCTTTTTCATTCTCGAATATCTCTGTCCGCGCGAGCGCGAAATATTTCGTCTGTCCAGCTTCGAAAGAGCTCGAAGGGAAAATCTAGTCCGGTGAAGAAAACGCGGTGGTTGGGCAAAAAAGGAAAGCATCTGGAGTGTTTAGCCGTGGCGTGCAACTAGTTGCCTCATTAACGAAGAATCCGTGGGTGAAAAACAAAGGTATTACCTTCGACTGTTGCACACACGCTCACGGAGAGCTTTATCGTACGGCAAATGGTGTAACCACGTGAATAAACACGTTGTACAAACTTCTGTCACGGTAAATATGTGCGCAGGTACAACCGATGCCACCAATAAGCGGCCCGTACACCAGCTCGGTAGAGCATAATCCGATTACGTTGTAGTTTATACCAACGACACTTGTTCGTCGTCATAAGCGACGAGACTTTGGTCTTATATTTCTCTTATTGGCGTGACAAGTGATCAGTATTATTGAATGTTCTCGTGAACGAAGGTGTCCGGGGACCGGTGCCAGCTTGACACGAGGTAAATCAAATTTCAATATCCATCGAGAGCTTGGGGTGGTTCGCTCGATTTTGCCTCACGTTAATTGGCCATGTGACATGCAAGGCTGATAGAGAGGACGTCCGTGTAACGATAATCTCGCCGGGTATAACAAGGTTGCATTTGCGTGTCAGATACTCGCGTAACTCACGTGGCTGTTTACGTGCATTCTTTGCGTTTCCTCTTCGCGCCTTACGTCTGGCGTCGGTGTCGTAAACGGCGCGGTGCTGTTAAATGGAATTCGCAAACTAGAGAGACTCGTTAATATTTGAAAAGAAGAAAAACAGGAGATTGTACTCGGTGTTAAGAAGACAGACACCGACGAAACGTTTCATCCCCTGCGCGTTCGCGTTCGCGCATCCCTTCCTCGGATCAGTTTACCCACGTTCGGCTACCTGTTGCCTTCTTTTCTTTCTTTTCACCGGCCCTCTGATAACATTTATGCATTCACACGTCAGAAGGTAACCTCTCCACCTGCAGCATTCACGCACGCTTTCGTCGTTCTACAGATGTGAAGGAAACTGGAAATAGGATTAAAGGGCTGTTTTACTGTTTCAGCGAGGTGGACGCAAAGTGGAGGTTGAGACTGGAGACTGCGAGGAGGTTAACAGGTGGAAAAGGGTTGAAGTCCGAGAAATAGCACCACGCGTCACGCAGGGGTGGTGGGTCTATGGGGGGCTCCGCCCCAGCGGCCCCCCGGCTCCAGTCCAAACGGAAGCTGCCGGAACGGTGCCATTCTGGCGAGGTCCAAGACCGCCCCGCTTCCGGTACCACCGTCCAAACGGATGAAGAGCCCCTCCAACATCATGAGGCAGTCTAGCCTCACCAAGCTTGGTTCCATGATCAATACCGCCGTGAACAAGAGAGTCGGTGAGTTCTATTTTTTCCTTCTGCCTCTCTCTCTCTCTCTCTCTCTCCTACCTTCCTTTCTCTTCTGGCTACGCTTTATTAAACCCACCCCCCGAAGTCTCAAAATGCTTCACCGTCTGGGAACAGTCATTTTTCCTCGAGCAAACCGTCATATAGGAGATACTCTGCGGAAAGGGGGAAGAAAATAGAACGAATTTCCCTCTACGGCGAGTAGACAAACTTTTGGCCAGCATTTTGCGTATCCATAGAACCGACGTGAATATTCTCCACAATTATGATTGAACCGTCTCGCTCCCGTTTCACCTAGAAGTCGCTGCCTCGTTTACCAGCAGACAATGCGGGTTGTCATGCCATAGGGGTGGATTTAATTAATAGCTTTCATAAACGCGACGTAAATGCAGCGACACGTAAGCTATAAATTACCGGGAATATCGTGTAACTCCGAGCCCGCGAAATCCCAGGACTTACGGGACCGTCGTACGATGCCTCGTAACAAATGTGTCTTCGGGAACGTTGCTCGTTCTCGATCGGCGATAATCGTTATCTCGCGTACAAATACAAAATCGTTTACGTGTGGCGGTCAGTTTGTAAACTAGTCGGAACTCGGCGTCACGTGACAATAACAGTATGTCGCAGCGACCGTAGTTGATGTCGTTGGGAAGGAAAACGGTTCACGTGGGTCGTCGTCGAGGATGAATTCGCGAAATCGCAGCAGAACCAGACGGTCCAGCAACGGTCTCAGCAAGAGCTCTAGCCTGGAAGTGAAATCGAACGACGAGAGTATCCCGAACGGCGACAAGCAGGATCCTTGTAGTTGTGAGTAGAATAAAAAGTGGAAAAAACGTCGCAACGATCGTACGTGGGCCAGCACTTTCTAGAGGATTTAAATTGACGCACGTTTCGACTGATTTTTCGTGGATGTGAACAAATTTCAAGGCTCGAGAGTTTAACGATAAACCTCGCTATGGGAAGCCTAGGAGCAACGACGTACACCGAATACTACATAATTTTTCACCCGTTCTCGGTGTGTCAACTAACCGTGCAATCGAAGCTTACAAATTTTGCTAAAAAAGAAAAAAATATAGATTTGCTCAAGGGGAACACGTGATGCCTAGATTTTTCCCTCGGTTTTTTGCTTTTTAGAAAAACACTTCTGCTTGACTCATAACAAATATCGCGTCCGAGTAAACGTTGCACCAGGCTCTACATGCTTGTTAGAGCAAATTCATTAACATCGTTCCTCTAACACGTTCGGCAACTAGAGTTTCGTGTGTCGTACGAGCTCATGCACTTTCGTACCAGTTCGAGACAGCCGTTTCATTCGCGAACGTTCGTGCTGTAGAAAACAAGCTTTACCTTCGTTTATTTGTCCAATCTATTCGAGTTAATTGTTGCCCCGAAAGAGTAACGTGGAAAAATCGATCGCTTGTTGATACAGCGAACGTGAGAAAACGGTTCTTTCGTTCAACGAGGCGTTATCGATCGTGGTTGAATTTTTATTCGAAAGACTCATCTCCTCTTGCTGACGAATATACCGTGATTCGAATTGAAATTCTACGCTTCGTAGTAGCTGCGATCCAAGTGTCCTCTCGTTCGCCTGCTTCGTTACGAAACGATCAATTTCTGAGTGATATAAAAAATCGATTGTTCTTGTGTAAATTCGAAACAAGCCAGACGTGATATTTTTTTTTACGAAGGAACAGGTCGGGTTTTATTTCGACGAGTACAGTTTCGAATTTAGAATGCTCGAGGATCGATCTACGGTGGGGAAGAAGCGTATTAATATTCGATACAGGCCAGATGTTGTTACGATCGTATCAAGAATGTATCGACGAGATCTATTAAACCACTGGTAAACCACGATGACTTTTACGCTTTCTAACGCATCGAAAATGTGTGACTCGTCTCGGTTCTCGGAGGTGGGGGCATGTAGTATGTGTGTTTAAGTTCAGGCGAATTTGTTGCCATTGAAATCGAAAAACGGCAAGAGCCGTTCTAGCTTCGCTAAAAATGAACCGGTCGATGGAAGACTTTCGCTCGGCCAAGAATTTCACATATTTGTCCAGGGACGTGCCTATGTTTTCCTCTTTGGAGGAACTGCATGAGAAGCTAACGGAACTTCTAGGTAATTTTTTTCAACGCCATCCATCATACTCGTAGTTTAAATGAAATTAGATGATCTTAGTCTAACGTCGAGGCATTTTTTCGTTGAAATTTTGCATCGAAATTTCAATCGATGTTAATTTGATAGAGGAAAAACGTTATCAAAGGGTTATTTGAAATCCATTTTTGAATTTTTCGCGGTACAGATGGCGCTGTTAGATCGGGCATGTTCGGCAATTTCCGTTGCATCTCGTGTGCAATCGGTTTTCGCATACAAGATGGCGATTACCGTGGAGGTAGTGAAACCTGGCTGTGGTGTGACGTCACGGCATAGTAGTGTTGTTCGGTTATGCGTTCGTGAATTCCGCCATTGAAAGTTGGTGATCGCGTTCAGATCGGTGGCGAGTTAGACCGACGAATATGTGACAGGAGAAAAGTATATGTAAAGTGTGGAAAGTAATCGCCCAAGGTTTCCTGGTTCCTGGTCGCCGGCGTGGCGCGCCGCGCGCGTGTATCCCTCTGGTTGAGTAGGCGGTATTGGACCTCGCACCGGGAGTAAGCCTCGCGTGCGAATCTCTCTGGTTGCGTAGTGTCTCGTATATGCGAGATGGCCGGTAAGTAAGCGTCGTGAGCGGCGTTTTACTCTGCGTGCTGTCGTGTATCTTCCTCACGCACACGCTCGTGAACCGAACAGTGCGTCGCTCCTGCTGGCCGCCTTGCCGCGCCGCGGCAACCTGAACCTTGACCCAGATACTATCACGGGTTCACGGGTATATCCGCAGCGCTCGCAGTGCACGCAACGTTCTTCTTCGTCAATTCCGCATCCTCAAATATAATCACCCGTACCCACTCTCTCTGGATTCTTGCCGTGCGCGGGGTCAAATGCGCCCGTCGCCGGCGACGGCGACGGCAGCGGCG